GTCCCTTTCGAGACAAACAATAACTTTTTCAAAATTTTAATTGGATTTTTAAAATTTCTATTATCGAGTATATAAATACTAACATATTTATGATATCATAAAACATTCACCTCATTTTAGCCTTTTAAAATTTAAGTTTACAACTTACTACCGTCAATATTCTAAATGGCTTGAGGCATGACGTGGATAAGGTCAAATCTCAAAACTTAGGAGTCACGACAATTTATAATGTATAAACTTATAGGGGGCAAATTTTTATATGATATATACAATCATATGTAGATATAAATATGGTTTCAGTTATCACTCAATAAATGAATGATATGAAACGATTTAAATTAGATTATATATTAGCCATAGTGTACCAGTGGCTTAACATGGTGTTGGAGACAAGCGTCGAGGCATGGAGTCTGCCATCCCAAGCCTTTTAAACGCGTATTAATGCATAGATACATTTTTTAAACATTCTGTGTTTGAACTTCATCAAACCAATTGATAACCAAGTAACACACGAGTCCAAATACCAGATAAATATTAAGCCCTATTAATACAATATAATACTTCATTTTGTATCCTGTAAAAGAAATATTTACATACGTTTTTTTTCAAAATTTAAATTTAGAAAAAGGGTTGTTATTTGCACCCCACCTATTAAAAAGTAAAAAAAAAACATACTAATAACATTAAATTACCTAAAAGTTTGAAAAACTAACCACAAGGGTGGTGACTGATTGGTTTGAACTTGATTCCAAAGGTCAAAAGTATATGGAGGTCTCAGGTTCAAATCCAAGGAGGAATAAAAATCCCCTTGTGGCCACAAAGATTCAAATGCGGTGACTCCGGGCTATCTGCAAAGCAGGTGGTCGCCCTGTGATTAGTCGGCTCGCTTAGCGGGTTGGTTATCCATATTAATAAAAAAAAGTTTGAAAAACTTTTTCTCTCTCTTATGCCCCCCCCTCTCTTACTTTTTTAATTAATAAATAATAACAATTATTAGTTTATAGTAATTATAATTTTTTATTTGTATTATATATTAAATCAAATTTAAAACTAATAAATTAGAAAGCAATAACTCTTGTTATTTATAAAAAATAATAATATATATTTATTTTATAATTTTACAAATTTTAACCATATGTATATAGTCGTATAGTTTTTCCTTATAAAGTCCCTTTCGA